AAACATGCCGTTTCCACACCTGGAATTCAGCCAGCCTTAGGCTGGCCAGGCACACGGTGCACATCATACAAATTATACGCCTGCAATAGCCTCATCTGCACAGTCCTCGGCCCGCCACTGGAAGTTTGTGAGGCAGTCCTGGCACACTTGCCGCCATCACGTTTAGGCAATGCTTAAAAACCAAGTTCCAGCACACATCCAAGCCATTGAGCCTAGTACCACCCCTGAGCAAGCCAAGGCCCATCGAAACCAGACCGAAACTCATCCCATTACGCCCTAAGCCAGCAACGCAGCATGGGAGCACAGCACGGCTTAGATGCGCTCCCATGACCCCATTGCTGACCGTCAAGCCAGCCGTGCGACCGACTGTTCGACGCAAGCAGGGCAAGGGCAAGGCGCGGTAAGGCAAAGCAAAGCAAGTAGAAGTTAGGAGGGCAAGCAAAGAGATTCACCAAGAGGGCACGCAAGCACGGCTGGCGCAGGCCAGCCGCCCAGCCAGGCCCCTTTTAGTTAGCTGGCGCTGCCAGCTCTACACCAAGAACGCCTTGGTTCCCTGCTACCGCGGATGTCACGGAGCACCACTTGAAAAATGCCTTGCGCGCAGCCATCCTTGCCTGGTGGTCAGTCTGGATGCTGTCCGCACACCTTGAGCACCTCCCCCGCCACTGGACAATCGCGAGGACGCACGCGGTCCAGCACTGGGCGCGCGCTCGTGAGTTGTCTTCCTGACCATCCAAAACTCAGCAGGATCAGCGGCCACGAGAAACAAAACAGGGGTCAAGGTTCCCAAATGTTCCCAGCCTACCAGGGGTCGACAATCTGTCGCCCCCTTTCTCCGCGGAGAGGATGGAGGTGGCCCGGGAAGCCACCGCCGACCCAGACCCTGTCCTGCGAGCAGTAGTGAGCAGCGGGAGTAGCACGCAAGTTGATTTGCCAGGCCAGTCTGTCAGTCCTCGAGCCGGAGCCTGACCGCCCACTTTTCGACGTTCTGAGCATGCCAACCGTTGTCTTCATGCGAGTCATCCCGGCTATCCTCTCAATCCAGAATCCAACCCAATGCCATCCTGTCGGTCTGCTCTACCCAGTGTCCTCGGACCTTCCCTCTTGAAGATGGGGAATGTGTGTGGGTTGCCTCTTCCCACAATCTTTTGAAGCTCCTGTGCATGCCGGCCAGGGGTCAATACTCAGCCAGAATGAGAATGGAGAAACGGCCTTGGCGATGGCTTTCAATTAAGCTGGGTGCCAAAGGGGGCCACGAGAAAGCTTGTATGGCCATGCGGGTTTCTGAAAGACCTCGGGCCCTCGGCTCCTTTCAAAGGTGCAGGCAACACAGGGGTGCTTACGTCCAAATGGAAAAGGTGCTCTAAGCAGTCTGTTTAGATCTGCACACAGGTCCTCGAAGGTAGTCATGCACTCACCGATGTAGCGGTCATCAGCCAACCGGAACCAATCGTGAAACTGGGCTGCGCTGTGCTCTGCGTCAGAAAAGGGGGAGCAAGACACATGGACGCCAAACGGATGTAAGGCCATGGCAGTGAAAATGACATCCTGATTCACATCGCAAGAGCTCAACTGGGCCACGTTGTAGCCACTTTCCTCCAGTTGTTTACTGCCTTTTGGTCGTCTGGTCAGTTGGCAAATTGGCTGGTCGCCCACTTTGGGTGGTTGGTTGCCTAGTTGGCGTTGAACCGCTGTGGGTTGGTGGGTTGGCGGCTTGGGGCTGGTGGGTTGGTTCACTGTAAGTTAACCTGGCTATCTAAATGCTATCTAAATGACTAAGTTGTTATTTAGCTATTGCACTAGTTGCCTGTCCCGGTCTTGTCTGTCCGCTTCCGAAGACTCCACCACTCCCCTCGCCTCGAAGCTCGGCGTCGACGTCTTCCGGGCGACTTCGCTGCGGTACACGGGTCTAATGCATAGCTCCCCGGTATCGAACACGCCCTGCGGCCAAGAAGACAGGGTGGCAAACAGTTGGTCACCCCCTTGCTTTGGGTATTTTGAACATTGTTTTGATGAACGTGCCATTTCTTGCACTTTGAGCGTCGTTTTGATGAGCTTCCCCTTGTTTTGGGCCGTTTGAGCATCGATTTGCGTCCGTTTGTGGCGTTTTGAGCGGAGCATCGCGTTGATGAACTTCCATTTGTTTCAGGGCAGTCTGAACCTTGTTTTGTTTAACATGTGGCATGTGGCACACTCAAATGGAGATGTCGGGCTCACCTCAATGCGGTTGACCATGAAGTAGGGGTCGCACTTCCTCTTCCAGAAATCCGTAGGCTTCAGGTCCACCGCAGATACTGAGAAGCTCAGCTCCTATTCGGATGGGCGGCATGAGATGACATGCGCGTCAAAGGTGGCAATGAACATTAAAAAGAAAAAGGTTTATAAGAAATTAACAACCCCTCCCATTTGTAATGTTAGATGGCGATTAATAAAACGGGAGTGAATACAGAAAAAACAACTCAAAATTATTCACTCTCCTGAAAAGCAAAAAGGGTAGGTATTACAGAAAACAAATCTGGCCGAAATCCCGAAAATATGTCCCCTTCCAAGAATGGACTATTTTTGAGGGTTGAAACGTTTGAGTCCAGCCAGAAATGTCCAGAACTTCTGGATTGCTTCCTGTCCCAAACCACCAAATTCCTTATCAATCCCTTTACTAGAAGATGCACCCTGACGAATTTTCAAGGGGGTGGCACACGGAACCCCCAGGAAGGCAATAATGCAGTTTGTTTAAGGGTAGGGAATTGTGAAAAAAAATGGCCAGGGCAGCCTGCCAAGAAGAAGAACCAATACTAAACCAATTCTAAACTGTAGTGAGTCAACTGAAAAGAATACTGAACTAATACTAAACCAATTCTAAACCGTAGTGAGCCAGCTCAAAGGAATACTAAACCAATGCTAAACCAATTCTAAACAATACTTACTGGAAAACTACTCAGGCAGGTCCCAGTCTGACCCCCATTTTGTTTTTGGGGCTTCTCGCTATAGACCCCCCCCCCTTTATTAATCACTCCCCAACCTTAGAAAGTGTCAAGGATCTAAAACGGCAATTGCCATTCGGAGACTTTTGGCTTCCTACGAAGCAGGCTAAAAACAGGGCACCGCCTAAAACCACAGACCCAAATCGACTCGATCGGATTGGCGCCAGGATGGCCCGCGCGACCCAACGTTTTCGCCACGGGGCCGACTTGGCATTGAAAGACTCTTCCGCGTAGACGAAGAGTTTACCGATGGCAGGATCTCGCGGTTTCCTGCCACAATGCCCAGACGCATTGTAATTAGCCAAACGAATCCCAAAACCCCCAGCCTCCTCACGTTCTCCAGCTTTTTCTTGAGCCAGCCGTGGTTTCTGGTGTTGGACCTGGCATACACGGCCGCCGCCAGGTTGAACTCTGCAGAGCCCACAAACTTCTGCTCCATCAAATCCGCCTGCATCCCCTGATTTCCTGAGACACCCAGCGGCTGTTTGCTTGGTTTTGCTTAAGCCCTTGACCGAAACCGGCCAGGCAGCTGATAATGTAAATTTCCACGCGCACATGGCGCACATGCTCCTGAGATGCAAGGTTGCCGAAAAAAGAAGAAGCCGCGGCTTGCATCGGGTTGTTTTTTAGCCAAGCCGCAATCTGGAATTGAAGCTCAAACATCTTCTCCCAAACAGGCCATCTGGTGTCCTGTCCGCAGATTTCCGTGGTGCCAAACCTGATTCTCAAGCTGAACGTTTGCGCGCCCAAGCAAGAATCTCTTTGCACGTCATTCGAGCAGACACCCGATTGCAATTTGCCCAGCGCATCAGGATTCTGGCTGGGCAGCTCTGTCCAAAGGTCATCAGTGCCCAGCTTTGAATACACGACTGCTATAGAATTTCCTGAGCGTCAGCCAAATGGGTAATCATGAATTTCCGTTGAGGACCCTACAGTGGACACCGTTGTACTAATTACATGTGCCACCAACCGTCTTTTTGGATGTTGTATGCCTCTTTTTTAATGGGCACGAGCTAAGCCAGGCCGCTGCCTCGCTGTAGGCTTTCGCACCGCAAGCCTAAGATGCTGCGCACTCTGCGCGCCCATATCGCCGCTTGTTGCGTTTGTTTGATTTGTTTTGGTTTCTTTCAGCCGCGGCACTAAGAAGCACCAGAGAGGAATAATCTCTCAGAAGCACTTCTGCTGGAGGTGCCACCATGCCTCACATCCAAAGGACTGAGCTTCAAAGGTCACGGAAAACGCATGAGCCAAGGCGCCATTCGCCTTAGGCGACTCGGCAGAAAACTGCACCACCTCATCCTTTGACGTAGTGCTCTGGCGGAGGCCCATGCTGGAAATCAGCCAAGCTAGGATAAGCGTAGCGGTTGAAGCTAGCTGCGTAGTAAAGCAAGCCTAATTTCGCGCATTTCATCCTGATACCTTGGACTCTGAGAGGTTTCTGTGAGTTCTGAAGCTTTGGCTTTGACTAAAAGCTATGTACAACTCCCTATGTCCAAGCCCAAAATGGGCCCGCCATCCTTGGCCACATGAGCCAAGGACCTTCGGGACCGGGATGCGAAATCGCCGCGATTTCAAACCTCTCTCAAGACTCGGCATGTTGAAAGCCCCTTTTGGCTACATCCTTCAGGCATCCTGAGCACGCGCGCTTGTGACGCAAAAGTTCGTCAGAACGCCCGAAAGTGCGGTCCAATGACGGCGCCTTGTCTTGTGACAGCCAACGTGTTGGCGGCAGCCGTTAATTAGCATCACATGGGGCCGTTTGTCGGCCGGAAGCTTGCGCCTCTCAGGAACCTTCTGATGCCTTTGCAGGCAGGACCCGCAAGTCGCATCTGCGCTTATCTTGTCATTAGCCGCGGCAAGAGACGAAACCGCGTGAAAACAGCTATTTGCATCATGCTTCTTCATCTACGCCTCCTCCCCCCCGGCCTTCCACGTCAGTGCGGAAGGTAGGGCAAATCTCCATCCTCCAACTCAATCTGCAAGTCAACGAGCGAAAGTGCAACCCGTGGCCTGGCTTTGGAAGTCGAATCTCGAAGTCTGAGACCTCTTCCACCTGGAGGCAGTGCCAACAAGTTGCCGAGTCGCAGAAGCCGCTCGCCTTCGCATCTCTGGCGGCAAAGAAGCAGCCGATGGCCTTGTTCACCTCCATGACGCTTTCCTGACACGGAGAGGGGATGAGTCGGATGAGTGATGCTCGAAAATGAGCCCGCTCCTGACCGGGGACAAAGAAGCTGCTGGGTGGGGTGTGGCCATAAACGTACTTGGAGCGAATGCAGTGGATCGGGTTTGCCGAGAACCAGCTGCATGGCTCCTGCAGGCCGCAGCTTTCAAATGCATCGAATCAGCGACCGCTTAGGTTCAATCAAGCGACTGTGGTAGCTACCTGCTCATAGCTAACGGGCCGTGAATTGACCTCAGCCATGCCATGACTGGAATCCTTGGGTCCCTTCTTGTTCCCTTCATTCGGGGCCGCGCTGGCGTGGTGCCCAGTGCCGGCACGAGGTAATGGAGCAGGAGGAGATGGAAGACCTGCCGACAGAGACGGGCCAATCCTTCGGGCGCCAGGGCCTGGGGCCATGGCGCAGTGCAGCAAGCCAGCGGCCAAACAGGCCAAGAGCAAACGAGGAGGCTCCAAGCCTCGTCTGCCGCAGGTCACGCTGTTTCATCTTCGTTCTTGGTTTCAACTTCTGACCTTATCTGAGGGCCCAGGCAATACCCCAGCTGGCAGTTGCCCTTCATCACCAGGCAGGCGGACAACAAGGCACAACAAGGAGCAAGCAGTACCTGCCATGCCGGGCAATTCGCAAGGAAGCCAAAGCGGGCAACGGGATCCCAGCGGTCTGCACAAAGCGGAGCAACAAGTGGCCTCCCCATGGCCCAAGACTAGAGTTCCCGAGTCTCTTTCGCATGCCACCCAGCGCCATGCGCAATTGAGGAGTTTTTGGGTGCAGCGACCCTACGCATTGGCGGCCATGCCTCCGCGAAGCCTCCGCGGGTGGTTAACACTATGAAAGGGTGCCTGCACGAGCATATGCCACGGCAAGCGCCTGCGCGGAGTGCCTATGCAGCCTGTTGTCGGGCGCTACTCTTAAGTTTGCGCAAGGCAAAATATGACTACGCAAACCTGCCTACACAGGAACTGTTTGAGCAGCCTGCGCAGACTGCCTACGAAATCGCTAATCGCTTTCCCCACCAGAATTGCCTACGCGTTGCCGTAGCGTAAAGAGCCCCCCGGAAAGCCAAAAAACAACTCTGCTCAATTGAGTTGAGGGCGTCCAGACGACTTTCCGAGTTCCGGTGCATGGCAATACAGCTCCCCCTTCCCCGAAACGCCTACTGATTTCAGGGGTCACTGGTTACATCAAATGCTGGGTTCCGATGAAAGAACGGTCCAAAAGAATCGACTCCTTGTCCAAACATGCAGCCGACTCGGCCGAAGCGCCTGAGACCACCAGTCCACCTGCATGGACGCGAAAGTGGCGGCAGGCACCACCCGCAGAACCCGCCAATGATCGTAGATGTAAATGTAGGCCTGGCACATGTTCCAATTGTCCTGAAAAAATGGTTTGCAGCCAGGCCCTGGCTTTTCCCCTGCACTTTGCCAGTGAAAGGTGCACGTCGCAACCCGGGGATGGTTTTGAGCTGTCTATTCAACGCAGATAAATGAGAGATAACGACTTGGAGAAGCCGCAAACAGCCCGCCCCCTGCAAAGCCCGGATCTCATTTTGGGATGCGCGTGCCGCGTGCACCGGGCTGCCGGAAGCGGCACATCTGCATGGAACCCAAGAGCCTGAACTTCCCAGAACCTGTTCCCAGCAACGGATTCACCACTCGTCAGGGTTTCCTGGGCCCATGGCGTCATTCCCAAAACCCCCTGCTGATTCAATTGGCTCTTTAGATCTTTTCAGGATTAGGTCCCATTCGAATTGTCAGGATCGCGACATCACGGATAAAGCCCTGCTCGACCTGGGCAAGGGCAGCCATCTGCAACTTCTGGCAGTCTGATCTGCCAAGGCACGTCTGGTCCATGAGCCGCCTGGCGCGGAGATGCTGCCCAGCCCTCTCGCAGGCTTCAAATGTCAAGCTATAGCCTTAGCAGCGAGGAACCGGTGGTGACACTCCAAGCATCACGTCATGCGTCAGAGTTGCAAATCATGTCCGGTTGAAAGGTCCAGCGCGCCATGCTCCGTAGCAGCTCCGTGGCCTGACTCGAGTCTCGACGGATTCCGCTGCGGCCCGCAACCCCGCCTGCGCCCAGCTGTTTCGCAGGACCTGCAGCAGAACGGGGAAGGTCACGCCATTGGGCGGGATCTGAGCCTGAAGCGACGTTTTGCTATGCTTTGCGATGCTTTGCCGGGCCCCAAGCAAGAGGCAACTTCTCAAAAGGGGGCCGCATGGCGCCGCACCCGCCCTTCGATCTCAAGCCCCCAGCCTCCAGCATCCAACCCCAGATGTGCAGGGCTGCTGGAGAGAGGCTGCCTCTTTGACAGGCACTCATAGCTGCATTGGCCGTGACCGTGTTTGGCTCAGCGCATTCCGACGCTCCTCGGACAAAACAACGTCTGCGCCGATACTACCAACGGAATGTCATTGGCAAAACAACCTCATCTAAGGTTAAACGCCTCATCTGCTAAATCACGTCAAGCTTCGTTGCAGCAATGCAAGGGCATGCTGCCACTTCGTGCTGGTGCCGCAAGCGCTGATGGCCGAATTGAAGCTGATGACGTCAGCTTGGAGCTTGAATTGCGGGATGTTGTCTAGCCTGACGAAGATAAGGATTTCTTTGCCACGATGGCAACCTAGTGGTCATGCCCGCATGATTGCAAAGGAGCGGCAAGCATACTGCATGCTGCCACTGACCAGCTTTGTCGCATGCGGAAACCGCTGAATTCAGGGTAATGAGGTTGGGAGCTATCCTCGGCAAAGGCTAGCATCACAATGCACCTGGCTGACCTGGCAACCTGCACTGAAGGCCACTCACAAAGACGCTACGTGAGCGTCTTGCCTGTGCTTTCCGAGTCGCGCCGCCGCAACCAAATGCACAAGAAGCTGCAGAGCTTCTTGCCACATCCAGTCCTTCTCGCAGGCACTGATGGTGGCGCTGTAGGTAATGACCTACAGACTACAGATCTTGGCCAGGCACATGTTGCCGCACCCATGCAAGCCAAGAAACAGCTAGCAGAGCAAAGACAGAGTTGCTGGTTCAGCTGCGTGGCATCTGGTGTGAGGGACTTGGCAGGCATGCCGTGGAAGAGTCCAAATGCGTGTTCAGCGTGGCCTCCTTTTTCACAGGCGCTGATGGCTGCATTGCACGTTCTAACCTGCAACTGACTCATGGTCAAAGCATCCGTGGGGATGCTTTTGTGCCGCTGCCATTGTTGCCATTGTTGCCAGAACAGCTGGCTTCCACAACTTTGAGCAAACCAAGCTTCAAACAACCCAAAAGAATACAATCCTGGCAATCGACCTCAGGGGCTCCGTAGAAATAGGTTCCCTGCTGACTCAATTCACACATGGCATTTTCTGAATCAGGGGCACCTACCCAGGGAGACTCAAAATGGGTCCTTCAACACCCTTGGATCACCTTTTCCTCTCAGCTCTCATGGCATGCGACCTGCACCCGAGGTCCACGCATTGGCCATGTGTGGTGGCATGGAGGCCAGCAGCCTAAGGCTTTTCAACGAAATCTCAGGAACCCGTTCCATGCAGCGAATGCGGCCATGCAGCGTTAAGGCTTCCTCCCAACGGCCACCTAAGTGCACATGCTTTTCTAAAGCAAAGAACATTTCGGCAAATGCTCTGAGGCGCCTTTCTCGCAGGCACTGATTGCAGCGTTGAAGCCTCGGCCGCCGGTAGCATCTTCCGCTTCAAACACATATGACGAGTCTGAAGTGCAAACCGAGCTGCTAATCACGTCAGGCAAGAGTGCTGCGGCCGGAAAGTCCTTAGTGCCAGCTGGGCCACAAGAACATGTGGCGACCTTAACGTGTGAACATGTTACCCGGTCCTTGCGCGCACCCGGACGCAAAGTTAACACACACAAAGCTAGGCCCAATGCCATCAGCAAGCAAAGAGCCTCTTGCCAGCGCGCAGCCTGGCGTCGGTTCAAAATTCCTTCCTTGCCCGGAAACACTGTTCGTGGCTGTCTACATTCTGTACCACAGGATTGACGATCATACGCAACACATCTCCAAGCAATGTGGTTCTCAAGCAGCAACCCTTGTCTGAACCTGATTGGCAAAATGCCTTCTCGCAAGCACTCATCGATGAGTTGTAGGTGATGACGTCTGCTTGCCCTTCAGCCTAGGGCCGAGTGGGAAAGCAGCAGGGCGGCGCGGGTTTAGCCAAGTCAAACCCTAAGCTCAACATCATCACTGGCACGAACCGTCGTGGCTCTAAGTTCTCCAGCCGAAGCTTGGCAAAGCTGAACTGTGAACCCAGGAAGCTTGCCAAAGCTTGCTGTTTGTGGCATGCGTTGGGGTCAACAATTGCAGAAGTGATTGATTCCTCGATCCTGCTGTTGCAAGCGACAGTGTTGATCATGCCGCACGTGTGAGTGACAACGTCAGCAACAATAAAACACCTCCTGAAATTACGCACTACCAGAAATCAAACAACAAACATTATAGCTCTTTAAACAAATGCAATAAAGAACTTGTAACATTGTAGATTGTAAGATATGTGAATTTCCATAGTTTACGGTAGCATGGAAAGCACAATGTCCTTTACTCGCTCCCGCCGGATCACCAATCAGGGCAAGGGAGAACTGGCAACATCTTTGAATCAAACATGTTGATTGGGCACGGATATGCTATAGTTGCGCTGGTGCCCGTGAACCGGTGTGGTTCTACGTGACCTTCGAACAAACAGGCGGCGCCTGGGTCAAAAAAAAACATGACGTTCAACAGTACTCTAGATTATTGATTGGGTTGAACACATCTTGAAACTCCAGGCACGCCCTACCCGTGACGCCCACAACAACAGCACTCCGTGGCAGCCTGGCTCCCTGCTTCCTTGTGCTTGGTGGGCCAAGCTCAGGCGCCCATCTGCATCACCCTTGCAAGCAACTTTCTTAGATCCCGTGTACCTCCGGCCTTGCTCACCGTGTTGTGAGGCAAGGGGCAGCCATCTGGCGCAATAGGCTCAAGGCTGGCCGCCACTCCGCGCACTTCTCGCAAGCGCTAATGGCCGAATTGATCACGAAGATGTTTGGAGACACCTTGAAGGACTCCATGTCAAGTAACCTCGAGCACTCCATTCCCATGCGTTGTCTTTCAGTCGAGGCCTGGATGGTGTGTGCCTCATGTATATGCTGGGTGTGTGTGTGTGTGTGCGTATTGTGCGTGTGCCTGTGCGCATACACGCGTGCCTGCGGGCGTGCATGCTTGGGGGGATGTTGGCGGTGCGTGGCTGTGGGTGCACGTGGGCATGCGTGCGGATGCGTGCGAGCGGGTCCGAGTGGGTGCGTGCGCATGTGGGCGAGCGCGTGCGTGAAGGCGTGCGGGCGGCTGTGCCTGTCTGCCTGCGTGCCATGGAGGGGCGCGTGCGTCTCTGTGTATTTTGTTGGAGCTGTGCTGAAAGGAGTGGCGAGGGCAGCGCCGCCAGCAATAGGTCGCTGCCTTCACTGTCTTATACAGACTGCAGGCAAGCAACACAAGCAGCGCCTGCTGCCAATTATGCACCTGCAATGAACTGCCATCAGACAAATTTAATGTCAGCCCCCTGCGCACCTTCTCAAAAGCAGAGATGACTGTACAGCAGTGGAAGACGTTCAACTCCAAGGCGTTTGAGTGCATCGACTGAATTACCTGGAAATGTGTTCAAGAACGTGGAGGGGGGGAAGATCCATGGTTTTGACAATCCATTGGCTGCTCTCTGGAAGAAACGGCATGCCAAGCAGAGGCAAAGAACAAATGCATACAACGGCGCCAGGACTGTGCCAGGCCTGCTTGGCGAGCCGCGCCTGCTTGGCCCGAGCCAATTGGCTCAGGACGGCAGTGCCAAACCTCAGACTTCCAACGTTCCAACGCCATCAGCCATCAGTCCGCTTCCAGCCTGGGGTTCAGCCGCCAGCTATCCAGGAACGGCCCCAACGCCTTCCAATGCGAGTTCAGTCGGAAGCTGGTTAGCGCTTGCCCACGGCCCTCGGCCGGTCCCGCCCGAAACGAGCCTGTTCCACCTGCGCAGCCCGAGGCTTCGGCCGCAAACGCCCCAGCGCTTGCAGCTCCGGGGGCTCGCGGGACCTGACGACTTGGACCCTCAACGCCCACTACTTCGACCTGCCGCGGTGCCAGCGCCTGGCATGCGACATGCCAGGTTAGTGATATGGGGATGGTGAGGGATGGTAAGTGCTGCAAAATGTCTGAGCCAAACGGCCACCGCGCCGGACTGCCGATTGTGCCGATTGATTCCGCTGATGGCGACTTGGCACGTGCGGCCTGCGAGATCGCTAGCATGAAGAAAATCCAGTGAGTGTACCCACCTGAGGGCTACATCGGAGCAAACCTTGCAAACACTGCGGTGCGCCAGCCTGGAAAGAAGAACATCATCACCTCGGCGGCACATTGCTCAATCTGCGCAATGCGCCCATGCACCTCTTATTTGAAAAACACATCTGGACTCTGAGGTGCCTTTGTGGCAAGTCTCTTTGTTCTTGGCGATCCCATTGAATGCATGCTGCTCAAAAGCAAGGGGTGCGGATTTATTTTGGGATTTTATGTTTTTTCCGTTTTTCGTCCGGGCCAGTAAAATGTCTTATTTTACAGCATTTTCTGACGAAATTACATGTCTGGTCAACATCCCTAGCATCACCAACAAATCGTGGGCAACAAAATCGACAAAGTATCTGGCGGGTTGACAGGGTCAAGCAAATGATGATTCAAATAGGAGGGCATTTCAGTCCCTGTAAAAAAATAGCGGGAGGGGGGGGGTTGGCAGGGGCGGCAGCCCCCCCCATGATGTTCGCAGAAGTGATGATTCGAATAGGGGTGCAATTCAACCTCTCCCTGCCCTTCTTAGGACAAGTTTAACTTCGCCTCACGAAAAGGACAAGTTTACTTGCTGAGGACAAGTTTACTTTTTGGGGACAAGTTTAAACTTTGTCTTGTGATTTGCTTGCTGAATGTTGCTGATTTCCGGCCCAACTTGCTTACACAGCACACAACATATATCACAAGAGTTCTTGAACATAACAACGAACTGATCTATTCAGATAGATCCGACCGTGGAGTGGAAACCTGCGCCATCCTGCACGCATGGCGCATGAAGCGAGCGCTTCGCAAGCGCTTTTTGGCAGAAGGTGCGCACCCCCCTCTGGCTTTGCATGGGACATGTTGACACGAATGGCATGTTGACATGCGCGTTGGCGAATTGAGACGCATCTGAGTACGATGGCAAGATTGTATTTGTTTGCATGTTTCTCCTGCAGGCAGCATTTTGGCGTTTTGGGGCATGCAGCAGGGGGTGGTGAAAGTCTGATGGCTCCCCTTTAAAATTTGCACAAGCTAGGCAGCACCAGGGTCCAAATTGGGCATCATGTTGACATGTACAACCAGCTAGCAGCTGCGATGCCGACCGTGAAGCCATGCGAGCGAAGAGTTGCTCTGCTGAAGGCCTGATTGAAGCGCTTAATTACACAAGCTCGCGTGTTGCCACTGGAAGGACTTCTACGAGGCGATCCTTGAGGAAAACCCGAAAGAAGCCCGCGTGCTAGAGAAGGCCAAAAGGCTGGGGCGGTAGCAGCGTTGCTTTGCAAAGTCAAATTGCGCGCTAGCTTAATTTATCGATATCACGTCCTATTTCGCAGGCTTGGCATCCCAGAAGATCGCGCAAAAAGGGCGCTGAAAGATGGAAAGGCTAGCATTGCAATATTGCATGCTGTGTATATTTATCCTGTGCCCATGAAACAGTACAGTTTTTCCAGGTCCTCTTCGCCTTTAGCTTCCTGAACTTGAAGGACAGCCAGTCCATTGGCCAAGCCGAGGCTGCCATGCTTTTTTCTGCTCGCTCCAACTCATCTGCCGCACGTTGAGGTCTCGGAGCCTGGCAATTTTGACTTCGCGGCTGACTGGCTCAGTGTCTTTGCCGTGGACATCCCGACCGCCAAGGAGATTCAGGCTAGACCATGCACCGGTGCACCACTAGTTTTGCGCAACAAATTTACCCGTGATGATTTTTAGGCAGCTCTTGCTGCAATCGGTGCTGAGTATGCTCTTTGTGGCAGAGGCGCTCGAAAGGCAGAGCTGGAGGACAGGTCAAACATGCAAAACTGCGGGGGTATATCGGATGTGATACGGTCTTGTTTGCGTGTAAAGGGTTCCCGCCTGCAGGAATGGGCAGAGACTGAGGGGAACCTCCACCGAGCCATATCATCATATGTGCTCCGAATGGTTTCCAAAACCGGGCATCAAAGGCCATGGAATTCCCTGTGTCAAGACAATTCCCTCCGTCCGCCACCAGGGCTCGAACTGAGAACATGGAGAAATTGAAGAAACTGGTCCTCATGATCTACAAGGCCGCCTACGCGTTCTGGATTGCATGTCGATCGATCTATGCATATGCATGCATGCATGCTGTATAAGCATGTAAAAATAATGCTATATATGCCATATTCGAACTCATAGTATGCACATGCAGGAGCACAACATCCAGAAGAGGACCCGTTCGATGCGGAAGTTTGTTCACAACCCTGACCCTGCTGCAAGCAGTGCTGGTGGCAGTGATGAGGAAATTGTGTTGGAAGAGGAGGAGGAGGAGGAAGGTGGGTGTGATGATGAGGTGGTTGAACCAGATGCCTCAACCCAAGCAGCGCCCGCTGTCGTGGCCGACCCGCCTTGCGCTGCCATCTCACCTGGCGATGGCAACAAGCAACAGCCAACTGAGACCGACAGGCGCAAAGACGCAGAGGTTGCCGCAATGACCTCCCACCCAGCATTTGAGGGCTTCATGCATGCTGTGCGCAATGGCAGGGTCAGCAACGTGTGGCCATCCTTTGGCGACTCAGCATTTGCGCTGTTCGATGTGCACCGGATGCTCGAAGCGTTCAAAACATGGCCCAAAGGCGAAGTGGCAACAGCGGTTCTCGCACCGGCAGCAGCGACCCCCGCGCCTTGCAGCGCACCGGCTAGCAAGCAGCAGCCGCAGCAGCAGAACAATGAGCCAGGCAGTCAAAGCAGTGCTCCGCCCAAGGAGAGCAGCCCAAACGAAGTTGGCAAAGGACAGCAAAGCATCGCAGAAGAACCCAGCAGCAACAACACGCAAAGCAAAAGCCCAGAGTTCGCAGTCGACCAGGCAGAGAACCATGGAAGTGCATTTAAGGCAGGCAGTGCAACGCCATGCATGCGTACGTCTTGGTTCGACTCATTCTGTACCAGCCGTGTTAGCTGCTAGCTGGGTCAGGACAGAGCCGTGCTTGCTGCCACGCCCGTGCTTCCAATGGGCGTGGAGGAGGAGGTTGAAAAGGTGAAGCAAAACATGCTGGCCAAAAGCGATGTGTCCCCTGACGACCCTTCGATTCTTGTTGCCCCTCGACTCTATAGCTATAGTATGCTGTGGTCTCAGAGTATACGTACATGAGCCTTTTCGTAGTATTTTTGTGTAAACCCGGCCGGTTTGGTCTCCTAATCATGTTGACACTTTTGGGGAACACGGCGAGTTGAATCGGGGTGGCAATTAGCGTTTGCAAGGCACAGCGCAAACTCCGCAAAGCCATGAAGTTTGACAAGGGCGAAGTCGAGAACATGCAGGAGTTTGAGGAAGAGTTGGAACAAGAGGAGCGGGATTTGAAAAATGCAATGAGGGCGGAAGAGGATGCAGAAAGGAAGAAGGCTAAGAAGACTAGAGGGGGCTGTGGTCGTGGCCGAGGGCGTGGTAGGGCTAGATCTTCAAAGAGAACAAAAACAGAATCTGAGCCTAGCTTGCATAAAATTGTTGTTTAAATGCTGAAGCGCCCCCCCTAATAGCCAAGGTTCATGAGGGTACTGCTTGCGTGGATAAGGCCAGGTCATCCCAGGAAGCTTTTCTCGGTCTGGTAGGCCGGTTTAATTTTGCATTTGCTCGGCCAGGCAGCAAATCAGCAGAAGGACAAGGTCGGCGTCAACGCGAGCAAGGCGCTCCCACAAAATCTTCACTGCGGGGTTCAAAAGAAAACCAGCAGCTCTGTTGCCAGGACATTCAACAGAGCGTGGACAAGAAGGACGAGGCTCCCCAAAAATCTTCAACCTAGATCGGGTTCATGGGGAAAACCAGCATATCTGTTGCCAGGACATTCAACAGACCGTGGACAAGCAGGACGAGGCGCTCCCCCAAAATCTTCAACCTAGATCGGGCTCATGGGGAAAACCAGTAGCTCTGTTGCCAGGACATTCAGACCGTGGACAAGCAGGACGAGGCGCTCCCACAAAATTTTGGTTCAGGGGAAACCGGTAGCTCTGCTGCCAGGACATTCAAGAGGGGCAGGTGGACAAGAAGGACGAGGCTCTTCAAAACTCAGGATTCAAGCGGCCCACTCATGTCGCGCTGAATGTGACAGGAGCAACACGCACCCGATGCCGAAGCGACTGAGGCCGGACTAGTTCCTTCTAGGGCGTTAGTTGTTGATTCCCGAAAATTCGGTTTGGGGTTGGTTTGCAAGAGGCTTCGGGCATCAACTATTGCGGTCGTGTCACATGAGGATTCGAATATGAGACTTGTGGCAGGATCGCTTGCTGGAACACGAGCGCAAGGACATGGCTGCAGCAAGCAAGGCAAGCGATGCACAGGCATCAGAGAGGCAGGAGCAAAGCAAGCAGGAGCAAAGCAATCAGGAGCAAAGCAAGCAGGAGCAAAGCAAGCAGGAGAAAGAGCAAACTGCAAAAACGCCCACTGATGAGCAAGATGACAATAGCAAGAAAAGCGATGCTGGCGCCAAAGCCAGAGCACACGCGAGGTATATGCGATACTTCAGGGCAGTGCGGAGCTGGGCGCTTGGTGTCGACTAGTACTACAAACATGCGCGAAAGATACACATGCACCACGTAAACCCATCCCAGGCCCGCGAGCGCCTCCTGAGATCCGGAAGATGGGCATGGCTGCCACTGGCTGCGACCTGGATCAATCACAGACACACACACAATCATAGGTTTGACCCTGCACATGCATGTGAGCCCATGAGCGTTCACATTTACTTAAGGTTCGGCCATGAATTCCATCCTGTACGAAGCCTGGATGTCGTGCAGTGGCAATTGGACCAACAGCCGCTTTTTGCTTCAAATCAGGCAACGGACCAGTGACAAGATCAAGGGGGTACGCAAATGGTTCACCCGGAGCGAATTGATTGCAAAGTTTGGAGAAGGCCCTGCAGAGGATATCATTTCTCGAAAGGCAGGCGATGAACAGCTAGCTGCAAAGGAAATTCGCCAACATCCAGAATGCCCGGACAACCAGGACATGCAAACCATGATCATGATATCATATCAGTCAACTGATGTACCCAATATCGATATCCATGCATGCACACATGGTTGAATCTGAAATTTGATGGGTGCCACAATCATGATCATTTCTGTGTGCTGGG